TAAAATAGGACAATTTGATGCTCAAAATATTTTATGTTACTATATTTTAGAGAATGCTTGCAGTTCCACCTCAAGAAGAGGTAAAATTTATCCGGATCGGGTGTTTACACTAAGCCAATATATACATGTTATGTGTTTAAATTTATAGTTCATTTTACTTAACTATTATTAATTGAAATGTATTTTACTTCATTGAATCACGTAATAATGAAAATCGCATTGACTTGATATAAATATTCGATACGGATAAGTTTTTTTCCTCAAGAAGTGAGATGTACACAAATTTATCCAAGTGTATTGATGGTTATCTTTATGGCTCGAACATATAATTTATAAATTATGGAGAGACAATTTTATTGTTACTCCATATTATTGTAGGAACAAAATGGTCTTTTGTTAAAGAATAGATGATTAATAATGAGTGAATAAATCTCAAATGGGTAAGATGATAATTAGGTAGGAGATATATAATATGTTGTGTTTGTTAATAAAGATTAAGGACTCTTTTAGATAAAAATAGTTAACTTAAAATCAAGGGCATCATGTTGAATAATTTAATTGTTTTCATTCAAATAATTGTAAAATTAAAGGACATACCCATCCATTAGTTGTATTTTAGTACTAAAGCTAATTTCGAGATCTGTTATTTACAATAATAAGGCATCTTACTAATATCGTACTTAATTAAATATGATTAGTAGACAAGTTTGTCAGTTAATCAATAGGTTAAGCATTTCTTTTTCACGTGATCCTTTATTGTTTTTCCCATCCACTTGTGCCTATTATTTCGATAATTATAAGTTTAACCGTACAATTTTGAATATTGTGAAGGAAACTTAATCATGTTAATATTGAATTATTGATCTACGTTTAGTACATATATATATTATCTTAAGTTGGATCAACCTTTTTTTTAATACAAAAATGAAGATAATGTTATAATTTGGTGGGTGGACCTGTTTAATTGAATGATCTTTGACTTTTTTAAAACAAAATCATTCATGACTAATCATAAACCATTACCAAAAAGAAAAAAATGCTTGTGAAAATAAAATACAATTTATTTTTTTTGCAACAAACTTAAATAATTTATTTCTATTGTGCAACAAACTTTTATTAATATTACTAGATTGTAGTATCAAGATATATGTTCTTCTAGAGTTGAATTAACTTTATAGCTAATGTGACATGAATTTGAATTAATTATGTTTTAGTGGCGAATATTAAATTAACTTTATAGCTAATGAGACATGAATTTGAATTAATTATGTTTTAGTGGCGAATATTAAATGCCGAATGAGGGAGGAAAAGAGATATACAATTAATAAATTGACAATCTCACAAATTTGTTGACAAATTTCATTTAAATATTCAAACTATTGTTTTTTATACTTTAGCAGTCAACATAATAAATATTTCTATTCTGTTGGATTTCTTTTAGTTTAAATTTTTATTTTTTAATGTGTTCTCAAATAAAATGTACATCATATTGATAAGTTAAAAATTTAAATATGTCATATATTCTTTAATTATAATTTATATGTATTGGTCACAATAAATTATAGAATATCATACTTGTTTCAACTGAATGATGTTTTTAGACTCAAGATCATAAGAAAACATTTAATTATCAAAATCTTCCTTTTTAAAAAAAGATAAATTCAAAATATACCTTTAAATATTTAGAAATTACACAAATAGTAATAACAAAACATATTTAAAAATGTTATGTATTGACTCCGAGAAGTATTACCAAAAAAATTAAAAGCAAAAATGTGAAAATAATTTAACGTATTTTAATCTGAGAAACTATCCCTCGTATTTTATTTAAAAATCTAATTGAGAAATTTGGCTCATTCATTCCTCAAATATCAACAAATTCTAATTTTTGTCCTTCAAAAATTTTAATTTAATATATTTAATCTTCCATTAACTATAATATACAATTTTATATCTTTCTTTAAGAATTTTAAAAAATTATTGAATTATTAACTTTTACATGATATAATTATATATGTATTATGTTAAATGCTTATGGTTACTATGTGTTTGAGAGTAATATAATTTTAAATAAAAAAATATTTCACTTAAATGTGGTTAAAAAAAATATTTTTAAAAATTAAATACTAAGTAGTAATCATATTTCGTGAATTGATTTCAAAATATCAAGATTGAAATTCACGAAATATTCAGGAATCAAAGTGTAACTATTCTAAAATTTAAAATAATTTGGAACAAAAATACATGAAAAAATATTGATTGATAAAATCCGAATCAATATAGTTGAACCTTAAATTAGGAGCGACTACACAATAGGTGACATAAAGCCCAAATCAACATAAAATAGAGGCTAATGAACTTGAAAAACTTTCTTGCAAGAGCTCTTCATGCTATCAAATTGAATATACTTAATCCGTATTAGTCCCAAAAAACCATCTAATATTTAGGAGAGACTTAATAGAATGATAGCCTAAAGTTAAAATTTAGAAAAGAGAGTCACATATATTTAATTTTTTTAATATATATATATTTTATTCTCCTAAATTCTAAAAAAATTGCCATTGATTATAACTCAACAATGAATTATTTTTTCAAACTAGCATAACATTTCTTGTAATATTTTATTAGACAATAATAAATATATATAACTATTATACTTTATATAACAACACAAATGTTTGAATCTCTATTCTTGATTATAGTTTTTTGAATTTTTTTCATTACAATCAATTGTTACATAATTTATCAAAATTATTATAAAAGTACTTAAAACTAAAATTAAGACTTCACTTCATTGGTATCGTTTTTTTACTTATAGAATAATTTTTGTAATACTTTTAATTATAAAAAAAATTATATTGATTGTTAAGTTTGGAAGACATTCGAAGTTAAAGATAATATATTTTAAAATTTAATTATTTGATAATGTAATTAGTTTGAACTTGAAATATTTAATAAAATATCTCATAGAATTGAAGACAGTATTACACATCCAATGTTAAAACATGTTGATTCGAATTGGAATGAATTAAACAAGTTAAGAAATATTAATAATCTTAAATTTAATTGTCTATATTTTTAATTATAATTACATCCATAATAATAATTAAAAAAATATGTGTATGATAATTAGTAAGAGATTAACAACAAATTATTAAGAAAATTTTAATTAATAGTAACAATAATTATAAAAAAAATTAAATATTTGGATGGCTGTGATATATTATTTCATAATGTAACATTGTATCGTATTGTGTCATATAATATCATTTTAAATATAACGTTCATTACATAGTGTCGTCCATAATTTGAATGACAAAAGTTATAAGATATGAGGTAGAACTAAAATGAAAAAGTAGGTTACTATGAAGAAAAAAATAGAACTATTAAATACCGAGTAAAGATAAAATGAGAAGAAAATATATAGTAAGGTAATGATGCGGTCACACCAAATCGATCTTTACACAAATGAGTCTTTTCATTTTTATTTAACGATGAATTTAAATGATACGATACAATATAATTTATGTAACGATCAAACAAATATTATATTAAGAGTAAGAGTATGTTTGCTATTGTTATTGGGAGATCAAAAACTCTTATTTTGAGAAAAAACACTTTGTTGAAAAATAAGACGTTTGACAAATCAGTAAATATGCTTTTAAAGAGAACAAAAACAGTTTTTCTACTGTTGGGAAGAAGCTAAATATTTCAGCTTTGTAATAAAAGTAGAAGCAAAAAAAGGAAATGATTTTTCTCAAGTCTAAAATTTCTTTTTCGTACGTACATATTTATCAATATATCTATTATTAATTAATTAACATATTTCATAAGTTTGTTAACTTTTATTTAAAAATTATTTTTGTCTAATGAATTTCTTATGTTTATATATTATTTTACGTATTATTTTGCAGAATTTTAAAAAGATAACAGCAATATTTTTGTAAAATTAGAAAATAAAATAATAACCTCTTAAAAAGGCGTAATATTGATTGAAAATTCAAATATATTTATTTTAATTTAATAATAATTAAAATTCAATAATATTTTTTAATAATAGACATTTAAAATAGTTCCCTATAACATAATCTTAATATTAATGATACATTAATAGATGTCATTTTTTTTATAATTTGAGTCTCAAAATCTTTTTTAAATTAAAAATTAATCAAAACGAAATTTGCTTATGAAAAGTACTTCTCATATGAACAAAATAGAAATTAATTTTCTCAGAAAAATCATTCTAGAAAAATACTTCTAAAATTAAGTTATTTTTAGCAACAAAAAGTGTGTTTGACATTATTATCAAAAATTACTTATTTTCAGAAGCACTTTTTAAAATAGTTTTTCAGATGCACTTTCTTAAAATAAAATAACAATTGATATTTACTTAATTCATTTTGAAAATTATTTTTGATAAGCAGATTGTACTTGAGTATTTATTTTAAAATTTTGAGATTTAAATTACAAAAAATAACAAGTATCATGCAACTAATATTATAGATGATGCAAAAGAATAAGACTATTTTTTATCAGCCTTTTCAAGTTTTAAATTTAAATATAAAAAATATCTTCATTAGAGAATGTTTCTCAGTGAATAAATTTTATGAATTGAAAATTTGAATATGGCAAGTCATGTTTTAGTGTATGAAAAATCTTTACTAGAGAAGTATTTTTATGAATAAACTCGATATAACACAAATTTTTCTTTATGAAATGAAACTTTGAACAAGTCGGCCATATTTTAGACTATATGATTAATCTTTTATTAGAGAAGTATATATATTTTTTATAAATAAACTTGCTATATACATAAATTATTTTAATTTTAATATAAATATATTGAAAAAACTTTTACAGGAATCGGATAAACCGTCCGTCATATGGTGTCCACGTTGTTATCTGAAATGATAAAGTTACAGTTAAGCACATGCATTTTTCCTTTATTTACCCATCACACCTGTCTCCCACTCTCTATATATTTTCTTATCTCCATTCACAACACGCCTCTCTTCCCTACGCCATCTTGTCTTCTATATATATATATACACAAATACATTATCTCTATATGCAGAGTCTTCTCCATTAAGCTCGAATAAATTCCTGATTCATGATGTCGAGTTTCTGTTCACAGTCGGCAAACGACGGCCACAACTCTTTCACCTGCGCCGGCGAGTCATCGCCGGCAGCCGTGTCTGTCGGCGGAGGCGTAGGAGGAGGAGGAGAGATCATGCTGTTTGGCGTGAGGGTGAAGGTAGACCCTATGAGGAAAAGCGTGAGTTTGAACAATCTGTCTCAGTATGAGCAGCCTAATTCTAATGATAATAATAATAATAATAGCAACAGCGGAAATAACAATGACGCTTCTAAAGTTGCCGCCGACGAGGGTTATGCCTCTGCCGACGACGCTGTTCCTCACCACTCCGGTAGTGGCCGTGAGCGTAAGCGAGGTTAGATCTCTGATTATCTAAGTTACTCTTTGTATTCGAATTTCTTTGTTCTGTGGAAACTGTTTTTTCATTGTTTTACAAGTCAACGTGTTACTCGATCATTTATCCTCTCCTTTAGTCACTGGATTTCAATTAGTAATGATTTTTGTGTTATGAATTTTTTTTTTTAGGAGTTCCATGGACGGAGGAAGAGCACAAGCTATTCCTTTTGGGATTGCAGAAAGTGGGAAAAGGAGACTGGAGAGGAATCTCTAGAAACTTCGTAAAAACTCGCACACCGACACAGGTTGCAAGTCATGCTCAGAAATATTTCCTCCGGCGAACTAACCTCAATCGCCGGCGCCGCCGTTCTAGCCTCTTCGATATCACCACTGACTCGGTATGTGACTCAAATCCCCAAATTTCAATAGATTAATTTGCTTGGCTTTTCAGTTCCTAAACTTTACTTCTTTGACAAAAACAGGTATCTGTACTAGCAACAGAAGAAACGAAAAATCTGCAACGACACTCCATTCCATCATTGCCTTGTATAGAAACATCAAAAATGAATGCATTTCAGGTGACATCTGTGCCAGTAAATTTTGGGCCAGAGAACCCAATAGAAAGTCCAATCCTTAGACAAGGAAATCAAAGTTATTATAATGGATCATCATCAATATTCCTCCGGCCGGCTCCTGTTGTTGTTTCGTTGCCTAATTCATCAAAAACAGCTGACTTTAACTTGAATCAAAGCTCAGCAATGGAGACATCTTCGTTATCGTTGACATTGTCGTTATCACCATCATCATCATCTACTAGACACTCAGGATTCCAAGTGATGTCAAATTTTAAAAATGGAGAGAGCATCATCAGTGTGGCATGACACACAAGAATCTCTATTATTAAATAACTAAAAGCTAGAAGAAGAAAAAAAAACATAGAAAAGGCAAATGGGAGTTCTATAATGGAGTTATATTATTAGTGGAGTAATATGTATGGTCCTTTTGTTTTGTACAGACCAGAAATATGTCATTATCATGCCTGTTTTATGCCTTAAAGTGACTTCTTTATTTGTTTTGTAGTTGGAAGATAAAAATTAACAATGAATAATATTGGACTTTGTGCTTGTTTTTTGTTGCTAATTTGAACAATGGGCTGAGTATAGTGGTGTCCATTACTTGTTGAATGTGTAACAATATTGTGGTTTTCCATTAAAAAGCAGAACCCATCACTGTTTGAATGTGGATGGAGGCTTGTTCTTCATTCATTGTAGTCACAATAAGCGAGCTAGTGGTAGGACCATTAATGTCTACTCATGTGATGTTGTTATCCAGAATCCTGGTTGGGTCAGGATATCTTCTTCATGTGGTGCATTTTCTATTACTATGATATTTCATTGATTGAACTTAAATGGTATACAAACGTGGACGTGGACACCATTTATTTTTGGTTGTTTTTAGATTTTTGTTTGAATATCTGTGGTGTTTGAGCTAACTTAAATAGATGAGAAAAAATCATCTAAAACTTGTAGTGTTTTTTCATGATTGTGTTTATCCTTCGGTTGCAGCTGAATACTTTGATTATTTTTCGTATAATATTGTTTTGCTGTTAGACCATGAAGATGCATTTATCTAACAGAATCCCTTCTGGTAGTTGAATGGGGATGTCGGACCATTCAACCCATTTTGAGATTCTCCAAATTCCGGCTTAACCCGCCCATTTGACATCATTGCAAAATAGCATCAGCTTCATTATGTTTAGTGACATTTTTTTACATTGGTGTAACCATCAGTGCATAACTCAAGAGGTATCTGCAGGATGATTATGTTGGGGTAGATGAGATGTATTTAGCCTTTTTGAGTAACTAGTTATGCACAGTTGATGTTGGATGATATTTGTTGCTGGAAACGCGTTGTTCACAATAAAATTGTTATGTCAAAAGCAAGACACAAGTTAAAGAGGAAGTATTCAAAGAGACATTTTCCTTTCTGTTATGCAAACTCACAGCTTTAAGTCCCAAATCCAACTGCAGAAGACGTTGCGCCACTTTGTAGATGAGCTTGCCTACACTATCTGAAACATAATGTACTTAAAGAGTAACAAATAATACTAGTAGAAAATTAAACGAAAAAGAGTGTTACAGAGTTGGTGTGACCCAAGTTGGAGGACAAACATGACTTAAAGAGACACCCTTGTTGTGTGGGAACGGAAAGGTATGATTCGCAATTATCATCCGTAAAATAAATATATTCTAGTGCTAGTTGTGCAACTACTTGTGTCCGAGTTGATTCATTATATCACAAACTAGAACTCGACCCATCCAATCAACTGCATAAAATTTGCCATCAAAATATACGATATCACGATGTTGAACGTGAAAGGATTTATGTATCATCCTGGTTCATCGCAAGTTTTCTGGCCTCCAATAACTGATGAACTTGAAACCTCCCTCAGTTACCATGAAAACATAGTCTGATGTATGACAAGGACTTGCAGATAAAACTGCCTTGTGAAAATAGGTCCACACTTCCCCAGTTTGGTAGTGAGTAAGATCATAATTAGTTTATGACCAATCACTCATTCATATAATAGGAAAAATATTAACAATTTATGGGAGGATTTGGATTTCTTAAGAGCAATTTAGTTGAAATTTGAAGTCAAGAGTTATATGATTTTTTTTTTATTTTTTATTTTTTTAAAAAAAGTTATAGGAATATAGAAAGATAATAGGTTGGAAATAATAATTTAAAGTTGGAGTACAAATTTCAAAGTTGATTAGAAATTGTCATTTATGATATTTAACTAGCATGAAATTTCATAATTGCTTTACATTACATTTTATCAAGTTTTCTTGTATGATTAAGATGAAACTTTTTCTTTTGTACAAACTCTACTTGCACTTTACCAACACTAGACGTACATGTGCCCGTGATAGCAGAGGCTTAATATTTATTATTTTTATTTTAATTTATGGGATATACATAGAATTTGAAAAGTTAATTAAATTTTAATATGAGTTTTAGATATTTTATGTTGTCAGTACTTTTTGTTTGGACAAATTTAATGTGAAGAGAGATTCAATAAGATGTCTATAAATAAAGTGTTTTTCATTAACGAAAATATTATTGACTTTCAAAATAATAAAGTTATAACTGAATAATATGAATTTAAAATTAAAGTCCTAGTTAAAATCGATTTCATAATTTTAAAATATTATACACTAATTAAATTAAAGCTAAACAAAAGAAATAATTTTTTTTGAACATGTTTGAAGCAGGCACATCGACATAGATGTGCTTGCTTCAACGCGAATTAAAAACTAAAAGTCATAACTAAAGTGAATCCCATAATTTTGAAAATATTTATACAATAATCGAATTAAAAATAAAATTAAAAAATATACATTTTTCAGAAACACACTAAAGCAGATACATCGACGAACATGTTTGTTTTAGCATATAGTCTCATATACAATAAGAAAAAATACTTTAAATATTTAAACCCTCTCGCGTTTGACTATGATTTTAAAAGTTTTTTTAAAAAAATTAGAAATATATTTATTGTTCATGAAATTTGATATATTTTTTAAAATTTATTTTCGTAAAGTTTACAAAATCCTAAAATTTATCCTCCTTTCCAAGTAAAAACATGTTGAAAATTGGTTTAAAATATAAAAAAGTTATTAAGAAAGTTCATATATTTATTTTTAAAATTTTAATTAAATTTATGATCAAACATTAATTTAAATGTTAAAAGTATATGAGTTGACTCAAGCCTAACATAAGTGCTAATTATTTATTTTAAATCGTTAACATTCAATTTCAAAAATTCATAAAGATTTGCAAGATCGTTAATGATTAATCATCAAAGCTCAGAAGTTTTGCCAATAGTTTAATTTACATAAGGATTTGCAAGATCGTTAATGATTAATCATCAAAGCTCAGAAGTTTTGCCAATAGTTTAATATATATATATATATATATATATATATATATATAAAAGGTGAACTCATGCTTTGATTTGAAGATGAAGAGTGTCCACCAAGGACCAATGCACGTTAATCAAGTATGTTATCTAATACCAATTCCTGTGATAATTTTATGAAGCATAAAATTATAAAACTAATGTATTAACTTATAAATATGAATTAAATGACCTTGCTAAATGAAGTTTACTTTGTGAATTAGCGATTTTAAATTTCATGTCGCAAGTTTAAGATCAGTCATCCTCTCATATTGAAAAATGCACGCTCTAAATCATCTCAATTAAATAGTTTAAATCTTTGGTACTTCATAAAATATATCTTATATAAATATATATAATTTTTTTCAAAGAATATAAATTGAACAAGAATATTTTATTAAATTGAAGTGTTTTATTAGAACAAAAATAAAAATTCATGATCTAAATAAAACATATTTGTCAAGTCTAAAAGGCTATAGAATATTGGGATATATTCAGCTTATTTTTTAAAAATATGTTGGAAGTTCTCCAAAGATTACAAAGGAACGCAAAAAAGTATTAGAAAAAGGGAATAAAAGTAGAGCATCAATTACTTCGGGGTTACTATTTAGTACCCGACCCGCTACATCACACGAAGAACGTGCTTTTTTGTGTGTTTCGGTTTTTTTACCCATAAACACGCCTACACACTTCGCTGCTGCAGACTCAGAGAAAGAGAGGGAAAACATGGCGTCCTTTGTCGACGATGAGTTTCAATCAGCTAACATATTCATACCGGAGGAGTGGTCCGATGCTGCCGACTCTGTAGCCTATGATTCTAACACTTCGCCGCCGCCGGTTGCGTTTGTCTGCGGTCCCAAAAATAGCGGCAAAACCACTTTCTCTCGCGTCCTTGTCAATGTTCTTCTTCAGAGGTATCTCTTTTGCATTTTATCAAACATATGGCAGTCAGTCAACTAGTGAACTTAACATTTTAGCTAACAACCTGTATGAGAATAGTGTGAAATTATTATATCTGTATGTAACATACTGAATTGATAGATTCGTGCTATGTATTGTATCTTGACTTAATATATCATTGCTTATATTTTTGTTTGCTAGTTTGAAATTTGAGAATGAAGTTACCTGTTAGAATTGTTCCTTCTTTTGAACAACAGTCACAATTTTCTGCTTTCTTGTTTCCGTAGTAATTTTTAAAAATAAAATATAAACATTTTGCTTTTGCTTTCTTATTTCATTGTTACCATAAAATGTTGTTGATGGTTTAAAATGCAAGTTTAGAACCAAACAAGATTTGAACAATGTACTTTCCTGTTATTTCCATTTTGACTCGTTTTCCTTCATAAGGCATTTTCAGTGGTACTTATGTTGACCACAGTTTTTTTTCTTATATTTAGCCATCCAAAATATCTATGAAATATCATTAAAAGCTTCGACTTGTCAATTGCTAATGAAAAAAAAAAATTTGGTATATATACCAATACCTATTACTTGTAAAAAGATGTTACCGGAATAAATAACTATTGGGTCTAGAATAAAGAAGAGAAATCTTCTGGGCATTAAATTCAAGGATTGCACGTTATGTTCTAGATTAAACATGTCTAATTAGGAATAATCGATAGGCTAATATTAAAAGACAACTAAGGATTCATTGAAAATTTTAAATCTGATTGGAAGATACTTATTTCGGATGGGCCACACCAGCTGAATGAAGCAAATGACGTGGCATCACGAATTTTTTACCACACATTGATTGTCCTTGAGAGGCTCTGTGTCCTTTTTGTCTGAATTGAATAATGAGCAACAACCACTCCTCTCTGTATGTTGATACCTGTGGATGATCACATTTTTCTGTTATTACTGTTGGCTGTTCGTGAGAGGCTGTGTACTTTTTGTCCTGAATTAGATAAGTATAACCTGATCATAGTAGGTTCTGATTGGAAGATACTTATTTCGGATGGGCCACACCAGCCGAATGAAGCAAATGACGTGGCATCACGAATTTTTTACCACACATTGATTGTCCTTGAGAGGCTCTGTGTCCTTTTTGTCTGAATTGAATAATGAGCAACAACCACTCCTCTCTGTATGTTGATACCTGTGGATGATCACATTTTTCTGTTATTACTGTTGGCTGTTCGTGAGAGGCTGTGTACTTTTTGTCCTGAATTAGATAAGT